AGTGGGGTGCACCTGCGTGTCTCTATTGGCAGAGCTAAAAGAGCTTTGTAATACTTGTCCAAGCAGGGCAGAGGCCAAGCCAAGAGGCCAAGGGCCAGAGACGTGCGTCTGAGGACAGGACAGGGGGGAGACTGTCCTGATTGAAGAATCGTATCCTGAGCATGTTCCTGAACCTGAATTGTAGCCTGTTACTTCCCTAATAAACCCCATAATCATGAGTATTGTCTGTTAGTTCCGTGTGGCCACTGCAACAAATTATCAAACCCTTGGGCAGTAGTGAGTGCTGCAGAAGGGACGGTTGGTGTCGGAATTGGTAAAAGGCTGGAGGGTGGCGGCATGTTTGGCCTCATAGGAATAAGCCTTGGGCTGCTGATGGGGATTGTCTTCCTCTTGGGAAGTTAGAGGAGGTCAGAAGATACCCTCTCCTTGCTTTTTTAGCACAAACAGATCTTCAGCAACTCAGCCCTGGAGCACGGGGCTGCTGTTAAGGTGTGCCAGGGGGATGGGGTCACTGCTCAAAGCTGAGAGGCCAGGCTGCCATGCCAAAGGGGCAGAAGAATGGGGCCTCCTGGGGCCAAGGGAATGGGTCACAACTCAGATGGACTAGTAGAATAGGGCTGCCCAAAGCCAAGGGAGCAGAGTTGCCATCCCAGTGGGCCTGGAAGGCAGAATTCAAGCCCAGTAAATGTCTACCTTGTACCTGTTCCACCACTGTACTTTGGAAACAGATAACCTGTAATCTAGATTTCACAGGTTTACAGATGAAGAGGAATTTTGACCCAGGCTCACCCATACTTGACATAGATGCTTTAGAAGATGAGATTTTGGATTTGGAGTTGACTTAAGACTTTTGCGATGATGTGATGGGATGAAATGTGATTGGCATATGGCAAGGACATGAATTTTGGGGGACAAAGAGTAGAATGCTATGGACTGAATTGTGTCCCTACAAAATATGTTTTGTAAATCTTAACTTCTGTGTGGTTATAATCATTTGGGAATACTTGTTTTGTTACATTAATCAGCAGGAATAGTATAGGCTGTATCATGAATCAATCTCTTTTGAGATATAAAAGAGATTAAACAAGCAAGCTAGGAAGCAGAGATGAGGGAAGCGAGATGCCAAGGCACATGATGATTGCCCAGGAGCAGAAACTCACAAGAGCAAGGATCTTCCTCCAGAGTCAACAGAGAAAGCCAACCCCTAGAGCTGGCACCCCGAATTTGGACTTCTAACCTTCTAAAAAGGAGCTCTGGAGGCGTAGTATGTGAGGCATTTGGCTGCTGAACAGAAGGTTATTGGTTCAAACTCACCAGCTGCTCCACAGTAAGATGATGAGGCAATCTACTTTCATAAAGATTTATGGTCTTGGAAACCCAATGAGGGTCGCTATGAATCAGAATTGACATTTTTTTAGCCTCCTAAAGTGTAGGAAAGTAAATTTCTGTTTGTAAAGGCACTGAGTTGTGATAGTTCTTTTATAGTAGCACTAGATAACTAACACAGTCCCTAATAGGCTTTTTCTTAATACAATGACCTGTTGTTGAAATAATTTTGAATTTTGACTTCATTATATATTACTTGTCATTTCATTTCATGCTAGAGGCAGTAAGGAATTATGGTTAATGATACAAACTCTGGAGCCAGACTACCAGGGTTCATACCCCAGATCAAAACTTACTAGCCATGTAACTTTGTACAAGTTACTTACACTCTCAGTGCCTCAGTTTCCTCTTCAATTATTATAGTAATAGTTTATCATTAAGCATAACAATGCAAATAAAGTTCTATATATACATATATATAAAACAAAAAAAAAACAAACTCACTGCTGTTGAGTTGGACCCGACTCCTAGCGACCCCTCCTTGGGTTGCCGAGGCGGTATCACCAGGGAAGCAGATTGCCCAACCTTCCTTTTGAGGAGTGGCTGGTGGGTTTGAACCGCCA